TATAAATCAGCTTAATACAACTTTACGCTCATAATTTTTAGTTTTAAATGATTAAGCAATGAAAGTGTCAGATATTTATTAAAAAATATCAAATAAGGAGACTATAAATAATAATAAAAATTGTTTTTATACTTTTTAGATGGACCTATGTGAAACCTAGAAATTTAGGAATAAACTTAGACTTTTCTTTTAAGTGTGGTAAAGGTAGAGTTCAATTTCTGCAAGTTGCAAATATCAAGAGATAGGTAATAGGCATAATTATATTTACAGTCTAATAGCTACATCTGAGCTAACAAGACTTTCTATAAACGATATAGTTAATAGAAAACCAAACGTATATGAATAGTCACGTGACTTAGCGTTTAGACATGCTAATCGGATGTTTCTTAGAGTTCTATTAGTGAAAGGTTTTTAAAGCTTCATTTTATTTAAGCTTAGATGAAATAGAAAATGTACATCACTTTGGCTTACAAATCAATTATTAATATATATACATATATTTAATAAAATTTTGTGTCGAATCTGTACATTAAATATTTTTTGGAAAATTTTATTGAAATAAATATTATTATCGATACAGAGGCCAAATCTATAGTTTTTAGAATTTTTGTCTGTCTGTCTGGGAACGCATCACATCGCATCACGATTTTGATGGTGAGGGTGAGTCGTTTTAAATAAAATTTTGACATTTTAGTCAATAAGGAAATCATGTAATAATTACTTATTACAGTACTAGCGGGTCACCCTCGCTTCGCTCGGGTCCGATTCTACACAAACCAAAACAAATCTATTCCACGGGAACTGTACATTTTTCCGGGATAAAAAGTAACCTATTTGTTATTCTAATTTAAATCTAATCAGTAGTTTTTGTGTACTAAGTTATATAAGTTACTATAGTTTTTAACTATCCCACGGTAATTCTTTAATTTTCTGGTATGAAAAGTATCTAAAATGTTGACCGGGGATATAAGATACCACCATGCAAAATTTCATTTAAATCCGTCCAATAGATTTGGAGATTAGCCCGTACGAACAGACAAACAGAAAAAGAAACAAAAATTGAAAAAAAAACTGGATTTGTTTTATTTCTTTTCTTACATCCCCCTGACTCGGTTTTTAGCATTTTTTTCTATGTACAGACATTCGACCTGTACAGTTTTATTATATGTATGTATAGATTACCTTCAGAGTGTATTACGTAAATACACAAATGAGTTATCGTATTTCTATTTATGGTACAAAGGGGCTTCCCCTACAAATTCTTAATATAGTCATTAAATATAATGAATCTCGCGTAAGTTTCTCACTTAAGTCATCGTCAGTGAGAAGTCATCAACGTTTCAGCACAGGGCGGCTGGAAGCTCACTGCAGTGATTTATACTTATTTTGCTCTTGAAATTGTCTACTGGTAGCTTACATAAAATGCTCACACTGATTGATAAATTTCTTTACTTTCCTTAAGAAATGGCTAGATTTCTGAAACGTTGGTTTGTTTGTTTATATCTGATCACTGAACATGTGTCTTCATTATTATCATTCATAACGTAAAATCCTATATGAATGGTCGTGTAAATATTTTAGGTGATTTTTTTACAATCGATATTTTAATTTAGAAATTATCTCAATAAAAATTAAGCGCATTTTTCAAAATTTTCAAAAATTGCCTCCATAAAATAAAAATTGTTAAAGAAATATGAAATGTTACTACAAGAAATTTGAATATTTAGATTTTGTGTAAGTGTTACATCTGAAGTTTAAAAAGGAAAAAAAAACAATTACCTGTCAAATAAAACCCAATTTTCATATCTGAAATCACAAAACACATCACTTCACTGCACAAGTGTAAAAAAATCACAGATCCAGAAAACATAAAACCGCACAAATTAATTAAAAAAAAAATCTGTCATAAACCACGTTTATTGAACAATAATATACAAATAAGGTTTTAATGATATATATTTTTTTAATTTTCGTTTGGATCGCGCGTGTTTGCTTGATGCGCGTGCGCAGGGCACTGCGTGACTCCGGCGTGGTTCTAGCACGCTGCCATTGAAGTTAACTGAAGAGCTTTCGCAATTGTTTTATGCGCTATATTTTACTGATACCGTTATGTATTCATATATTATCTTCCTTTGCATAATATATTAAATATACTTATTTTAAAAAAGAATATAAATATGTATGCGTCAAGAATGATAATACTAAGTTAATTATGAGTTAAGTTATATATTTAACCATCGAAAGAATACTTTAATAGGGACGTGAATGACAGTTATATTTTTTCTGCAAATTATTATAAATTTTCAAGTTTTGACTATCCCCTAATTTGCATGTTTTGAAGCTTCAGTGCCAGTTTGAGTCCAGTATTGAATACATTTTTTACTATATAAGCTTAATTAATATTGGCTATTAAGTGAGTTGTTGAACTTTTATTGTATTATTATTGCACAACAGTACAAATAGAAAAAAGCAATATAGAATTAAAGTTTATTCAAAAGAATATATTTAATAATAGTATCACAATAATATTTAAATCTATGAAATTACTTGTTATGTCATATTTAAAATAAATTTGGTAGAACTATATTTATTTTAATAAGTATAAAAATTTACAGCATTAAGTCAGTCTTTCTATACACCTATACTTTTCAGGATAGGGCACAATTTCCTTTTGTACGTAAACACAATTGTCTACAAATTTAGAAATCACGAAGTTGCGTCAAGCATTCATCTACTATTATTTAATGTTACAACGTTAACGAGCTTTGCGATAGCTCACTTGTAAAGCTTATATTAAAACTGGTATATTCTAAAACTTTGTATATTGATTTGCAAGTAAAAGGCTACAAATTGTTCCCCGTTTAAATATCTATTGTTTAAGAACGGACCATACCTGAGCTGTTGTACTTGATCTTATTGTCCTAAGCGGTTATTATTTATATGGCACTCTAATTTCGATCTTATTGAAGAGGGTTTAAGGTATATTTCATTTGATTTTACCATATTGCTTATTTGCACTTAAGTTGTAAGTACAGTAATTGTTATAAGCCACCGCTCCAGTGCTTATAAGTGAATAAGGTTTCGAATAAATGAAGTAACGACTTTGTATTATTGATTATGATAATTAATATTCATGGTTAAGGAATGGTATTTTTTATGGGAAAAAAATTTGTTAGAATATCTTTACCATCAAACATCAGGTCACACGAAATCGCTGGACTTAGAGGACTGACATTTTATTTTATTATAGTGTATTCTCATAGTAACAAATAATCACGTAAAAAGAGTTTTTCAAAGTACAACATCTATAGTAGGTATTGGGCGTAAATTAGAATTGCAATTTATTAGCATTATGTATGTATGTATGTATTCAGCCCGTTTTAACGTCCTACTGCTGGGCACGGGTTCCCTTCAATATGAGGGGGATCCGGCCATAGTCCACCACGCTGGACAAGCGCGGGTTGGCAGACTTCACATGTGTTCCGAAAACTTGCTAAGTTCTCTCAGACATGCAGGTTTGCTCACGATGTTTTTCTTCACCGTAAGGCAAGTGGTAATCATGCTAGAAATGATTCGCACATGAAAATATCAGAGGTGCGAGACCCGAGATTTGAACCCGCAACACTCGGTTTCCCAAGCGAGCATGTTACCACTGGGCTACCACTGCCTTTTGCATTTTATTTTATTATGGTATATGCTCATAGTAACAAATAATCACGTAAAAAGTGTTTTTCAAAGTACAACATCTACAGTAGGTATGGTCGCTGCGACCATGGTCTCCTTCCAGTCGTTGACTACGCAGGCTCTAGAGGTCCTTTTAGAGGATTGAAATTGATGTTATCAAAACTTTTCGATAGAAGCAAGTCAAATATAGCTATTAGGTAGGTAGTCAGTAGGTAGGTAGGTAGGTAGGTAGTCAGTAGGTTAGGTAGGTCATATATAGCTATTACATAATATAAATCTCGAGTTTACTTCAATATCGCCGAAATAAAAACAGTCCAGTGTAAGTTGTTATTATACCGTCTCCATACGTTTTGAAATAATATTTTAGATTTTAACGATCGATACTCATAAATTTATCACTTATAATAAGCTGCTTTCATAGGATATTCTTGCAAGGAGAAATTATAATCTACTATTGTAATATAATATGTACTTATAAAGGTTCCGTAGCTGAAGAGTCAACGCCCTTTTACTAATACTAAGCCTTTGCATCAAGTATATATGTTCTATTTAGAAAATATTTACCAAAACAAAACACCTCTAAAGCTAAAATCCATCAAGCTGTTTAGGCTGTACAGCATGTCAAAGAAACATACATACATACACTCGAAAAACATAACCCTCCTTCTGGCGTAAGTCGTAAAAAGGCTGTAATTATTGAATCCTAATAGGTAGCCTGATTTTACATAATGCGATTATATCGTTTTAGTGTCACTTATACTCTACTAGCAAAACCCGCGGCTTCGCTCGCGCTAAAACTACAGAAAAACTGTAAAAAAGTAGGTTTCATACAAAACTTCATCCCCTATTTTACCCTCTTATGGAATCAATTTCGAAAAAAGCTAAAACACATATTCAATTAACTGTATTCAAGAGCCTAGAGAGTATTAATACCTAGTTTCAAGTAATTCTGATCATAAAGTTATTTTGGGTTGTATTATAACGTGTTTCCCTGTGGTAATGAGATTATCTCCCGCGGCAAAAAGTAGCCTATGTCACTCTCCAGCCCTCCAACTATCTCCACACAAAAAATCACGTCAATCCGTCTCTCCGTTTCGACGTGAAAGACCGACAAACAAACAAACAAACAAACAAACAAACAAACACACTTTCACATTTGTAATATTAAGTATAGATATCGTTAAAACTGTAATATTCCAAAGTAATTTCAAGAGAAATGATTTACCACTTCCTTCACCACCTGTGATAAAACGTAAGAGCTGACTCTCTTGGCCATGCAAATCGTTTTCGATTGCTGTTGAAACCTTCTGAAATCAATTCTTCTGCTGGATATTTAATACTCGAATGCTTTCTAGAAATAGTTCATCTGACATGACGGCTCGTTCTCCCACGTCTTCACAAAAGTTATCATCGTCATTTACCATCTGTTCACCAACACATAACATGGGAGCATTGCTGACATCGATTTCACGCGCAGCATTAAGGGCGGTTGCTTGGGCAATAGCCTGTTGAATAATTTGTTCAGCATGACTAAATTGTTCTGCGTTTACGTTACCCTGCAACGGGCGAAGATCTCTTTGACGTCTTATAAAACAGTCTTCAGCGGTGTCGTTCTGGAACAGTAACTCACCTTCATTACGGAATGGAATGTGGCATACTATTAAACTGTAATAATACGCTTCTTTATCACTATTAATTGTATAATATCGCGTACGTAATACAGCCGGTCTATTTCTTACACGCATTCTTGTATTGTCCCGCAATCTGATAAAACTCACTGGAGTAATTTCTTCGTCTCTCAGTTCCGCATCACCATTTTCCTCTGACCATATTGAATTAGAAATGGTTTCGAAACGGACGGCAAATTCTGCAAGACTTAAATCCTCCAGCTCATTTGGGCGCAATACATAACGATCAAAAATGTTATTGTAAATACTGGTTTCATCACTATCAAATCTTAAAAGTCTGAATCGTTCCTCCGGCCTGCAGCTATTAACAAAAACAGTCTTTCGCGACGACATCTTCAACGGTAAATGGCATAACCTGTATGCGCATTCTGGCGCGCTCACTAAGCGTTGATTTAAAATAGTCATCGATACTGAAAATAATTGTTTCCAAACATCACCACCTTGTCTCTTAGCCTTCGAAATAGCGTCTCGTATCACATCACATGTGGTTCGCATTTACTTGCATATTTTGCGATGTAGTACATTGAGTAGAACGTAGAACCAAAAAAAAACGCAATTAGCATTTTTTGTTTCTTTCGGTTAAATTTCTTTGAAGTCGGTTTTTTTTTGTTATTTTTTTTATTTGTCTGTATGTCAGTTTATCTGTATATCAGTTCAGTCGAGTTATCCTTCATACAAACATAATTAATGATTTATCATACAAAATAACTATTAGTAGACTAATTCAAATTAAAATAAAGCTTACGTCACAAATTAATATATATTATATATATAATATTTGAAACTGTAATTTAAGTTCATACGTTGTCATATTTACCTATTAGATATTCATATTTTAAAGCATTGTTATAAAGCATATTTATCCAATTTTTTTATATAAAGACTGACAAACTAAAATTCGTTTATATTATTAGTAACACTAAAATTCAAGCTCTACAATTATATATTCTGATGTATTCGGTTTGTCAAATCAAACAAAATAAGCCCAAACTCAAAGCATCTACTATTAGCCGTTGAAGAGTTCCACCTATCCACCTTCTGGCCTTACCATCAGATCAGGTGAACAATACCGAATCACTGTACTATCAACGGAAATAGAAACACTTGCATACATGACGAAGTTCTGAGGTAACAAACATAAAAAAAAAAATTACAGTCGAATTGAGAACCTCCTCCTTTTTGAAGTCGGTTGAAAAATTGGAAAAGTGGGAGTCGGATTCATACACAAACTACGAAGGGTGCCATACCATAAAACAAGTTATGTTTTAAAAGTATAATATAATATTAACCCATCTATTGTAGATTTATTTTATTACGATACAAATGACTTTGTATTAAAACATCGCAATTTTCAAAGATTTGAATTCGCATCTCCAATATTCATGTTCCAGGTACCTATTCGTTCATTTACCTATCTGTGAATACTATTCAATCGCTAAGTTCATGCATTTCGTATACATAAGTTTAAACGCACATTCATCTTATTAGTTCTAGAAAATTACGAAACCTACGTTTAGATATGATTATGAAATTAAATCAGGAATGTAGCATGTTTACTCACAAAAAGATTTCCTTAGAAATCGCTGAGCGGCAAACAGATACAATTTTGTTAGTGTGTTGAAATAGCTTGATGTGTGGTCAATTTTTTTGATATTTTTTATTAGGTGCCTTTTGTGTTTATAATCTGTATATTATATAAAATAAAGTCGGGTTTTTTACAGCACTTATAACTCGAGAACTGCTGGAGCGATTTTTATGATCTTTTTTTTCTTCTGCACCGACTTGAAAAATATCTGATTATATATAGATACCTATCTATTCTAAATGAAAACCCCCGTTCCGTTATTTTTTACATTTAAGTGCCTGGAAGTCGGTTTTTTTAAGTTTTATCGACTTACTACGTGTGCAGAGCCGCGGACAAACATTAGTATAATACTTACGATGTGATTAATATAATAAAATGGATATGGTATCTGTAAAAATAGATATAATTAGACATTATTGAAATTTAAATATATGGGTAGTTTTTTTTTAAATCTAATGTCTATTTAATTAAACTGAATATCAAACCTCTTTCTGTTAAAACGTCAATACATTCACAAACACAAATCTTTTCGTAGCCACTTGATGAATTTAACACTGTTGGAAATGGGCACATTCACTGTAAAATATGAATAATTCATATGTTACTTAATGACTTATAAGTATGAAATTTTTGAGATACTATCATGAGATTTGTCACAGACAAGTATGATATATTACGATGAGGCCAAAAGTGGATGCTAAAAATCAAACTTCTATACTACGTTATATTGCAGCTATGAGAAGTTACTACATTATGGAATATGGCTAATATATCATCTTTATGGAAATTTAATTTAAAAGAGTACAATTGAATCTATAATCTATATTAATAGTATGAATGGACAAGTGTTTTGTTTTTTTTTGTTGATTTTTATGAAATGATGATGACATGAGTCATTATACGAATAAAACTATCTTTTCGGATTATTTCGCGGATTTATTTGATTTTTGGTTCCCGACGTTTCGAATGCTTTACAGCAATCATGGTCACGTGAGAGACCTGTAAGAAAGTATCTTTATACAAAGTTAGCAAACTGACATAGTTTACATTTTAATCCAGTACTTGAACAAGTGGAATTATAATATATAAAAATACCAAACAATGTAGGTAGTTCAATAGTAAATAAAAAAATCGAGATTTATTTTCTATTACATTTATTTGTCATTCCCTCAATATTTCTGATATTTTCCCAGCATTTCTCTAAATTTTCCTAGTAGGTACAAATTTGGTTATAAAAATGATATGTAATTACAATACAAAATACATAATATATGTATAATAATAATAAAATATTAGCTATTTTGTATTTAAAAAATCATTATTATAATATATTGAGGAAACACAATTTGAAGTAGAAATGAAATATTGCTACACAATACGAACATGGTACAATGGAATATAGAGTCATGTACTTTTGACCAACGTCGATATCTGACGGGAACATTGGAACGGAAGCAACACACGTTGTCTTACATCTACACTGCCTCTTGTTCAAAAATTGAGTGTGGTGACATGACAATATATGTGTAAAAGATACAAATAAAGATTACTTTATTCTATGTGTTATATATAATTATAAATATATTTAGATCGAAAAAGTACTATATATAAATGCTTTATATAATATGTACTAGGAACTCACCCTCGCTCCGCTCGGGTTCGTTCCTATCGGGCTTAGTATATATTTCTCAGAAATGAGAAATATATCCCCCTGTAAAAAGTATCCTATATGTTGACCCGAATAACCAGCTATCACCGTACCAGTTTCAGTTTTTCTGTGATGCGGTAACAGACAGACAGACAGGGAGACAAAAATTCTAAAAACTATAGATTCGGTCTTTGTATCGATAATAATGTCTATTTCAATAAGATTTTCCAAAAAATATTTAATGTACAAATTCGGCTTAGTTACAATTTTATTATATGTATAGATGTATAGATTTAATTTTACAGCAATTTTGAAATGTCAAGTTGTTAGTATCTACACATAAATATATATTTTTTATTGCACATTCAAAAATTACAAATATTAAGAGAAACCTGAAGGGGAAGGTGGACTTATTTCTAAAAGACATCTCTTCCAGTTAACCTAGGAGGTGAGAAAGATTGTCATTTAGCGGAGCAGATGAGGTAATATGGAAATAAAGTAAATAGACAAAAGTAAAACAGTTCAGTACCTTTTCCTCCTGTATTTGTCAATCGATATTTTTAGTAGCTATTGGCGATGTTTAGTGTTATCAAAAAAAATGATCATGATCGAATTTCCACCACAGAGCGAACACTAGTTATTACCTAATTGCCGTTTGTCAGAATGATGGGATCTTTGAAATAGTAATTTTCAAAAGTGCTTTTTAAAGTATATATGATAGAAAGATTTTGATAGAAAATAAATGAGAATGATTTTATGTTTATTTAATTTCTCACTTACGATATAATAAATATCCATCAGACCTAATTTTAGATGCGACGGCTAATCTCACTGAAACTGGCCATGTGCGCTGTAGATATACAAATGAGTACACATATATAAATACACTCTCTATTCCTTTCACTTTCATAGTCTAATAGGACAGATGTCAGCAAATATACAGCTTCCAAAAGATCTGTACAGGAGGAACTTCGAGGCTGGGGTATAACACCGCTAACTTCTGAACTTCAGGCTATTACTGATACAATAAAACATAATAGGCTAATACTAGTTTTTTTTCGTGAATTTAGTTGATTTTTGTTCCAGACATTTCGAAAGCTTTACAGCAATCATGGTCACTGGAGAGACATGTCTCGTCAAATATAATCTTCTTTACAATATCAAATATTTGCGTAAATCTAAGAAAGTATTTATGGTCTTTTCTAGACCAGATCCAAGGCTCGATGCCTAACGAAAATCTGCAATTATACTTGAAAGCCAATAGACAAACGAGGCTCTTTAGTCTGATCTTCGCTTGTAGAACATTAATTAATATGCAAAAAGTCAAGATACACAATAAGCGCCTTAAAGCTGTCCTCGAAAAAAGTGCACCATTCGAAATTGAATTGAGCTTTATTTAAAATTTCTTTGATTCATTGCTTTTCGGATGACAAAATTAAAACGCACGTTATTTCGTTTAAAAAAGTACTTTATGTCATTTGCCTAAGTTCGAATTTATGTTTAGACAATTAGAACTTTCGATTATTAAATTTTATTCTTTGGTTTGATTTAACGTCACATGTCGACGCCACTTTTTGAAGAGATATTTTTTAGGAAATATGTATCTATGTTTTTATATATTGTAGATATAACACATTATAATATTGTACAGATATGTACATATCGTCTGAGTGGAGCTAAAGACAATGCCAGATGCATCATGCACTACACGCTACAGCTAGTTGTGCACTAAAATCAATTAATGATAAAAACAAACCATACATGCGAGCGGCGCCTCTAATCAACGTCCACGTCGCACTGTTATCCAGACAGTGATAACGGTTTATACTTAAAAGCAGTAAGCTAGACTGTGGTCGCGACTAGATAAATTACTACAATAAGAAAACTGAAATACCTTAGTAAGTATTACATATAGTGGTTTTGTTAATTAGTATGCTGAAAAAAAGAGACAGATAAAAAACTGTGTGAAAAATCGGATAATTAATATATAAAAAATGTACTTAGTATCTTGAATAGCAACATTTTAATTGTTTGAGCGGTACCCTAATTCTTTTACTGAAATAAAAGTACCCTAAGTTACTCCTTATAAAATCAACTACCTGCCAGTGAAAGATCCGTCAAAATCGGCCTAGCCGTTTTGAAGATTAGCCGAAACAAACAGACAGACAGACAAAAAGTCACTTCAATTTTATTTCTCTGTATAGATTAACATAACGATGCGATCTACTTACGACATGAATGGAGTTGTGGGTAAGAATTACT